GACTGATTAATAGTATGTCTGGACCGTTTACGACAGCTGTAAAAATTATATACATGTACCATGTAATATATATATTTCGTTAAATAAAATGTTTGATATGACTATTAATTTCTGATGATGTGTTTATCGAAACAAATGTAATACAGTTTGACTGATTAATGATATTTGGATAATTTCATTTGAAAGAGGTATTTATTTTGTTAGCCCCCTCCTTGAAGCCTCAACACTATCGAAAAATCATGGATTTTTTGTAATGTGCATTGTATCAGATGGTTTCTACATATGTTGAATTATAACACAATTATAAATGTAAGTTATATTTACACATGACACGGACGTAGCATCGAGTTTGAAGGGGGGTGGTAGAAAAAGATTTCAACTAACATAGAAAAAATCTTGATAATGTACATTTAAAAAAAAAATGATAAGCGAAAAAGAACCCCGAAAATTTTGTGGCTCGAAAATCCACAGGCACCTGATGTTACTTTCTTTTTCTTAAAATAATAGAATATAACCCCTACCTAATAATAAATTATTTTTAGGTAGGGGTATATTTTTATTAAAAGAAAAATACTGTGGTTTCATAAATATTCGTTGAGCACCAATTTTTGAGGATTTCGTTGTTGAGCAGATCCACAAATTTAAATGCTCATTGAATTAAGAAATATGCCATTCATTTGTATAGATGGTATAGGCAATGCGTTGGTCCACGAAATTACGTATCTTCGGAAATGTCATTTTTATAAAATCCACGAAAATTGATGCCAACGAAAATTGATGAAACCACAGTAAGTAATGTCAGGTGTCTAAGCGAAAATCTTTTTTCGTGCTGGGGAGGAGGAGGCCTAGGTTCCAACTTCTTTAAGTGCCAAATTTACTCATACACTATTCCATTACCCGTATTTTACTATGCAACACAAAAAGGGGGAGGGGCGATCTTTCAATGAACGTTTTAAATGGTACAGTGTAAATAGTATTTGGACCTTCCATCCCCCATGTTGAATTACGTGGCTGTATGCATCTACTTTCCAAGAATTCCCATGGTTAGAATTCTTATGACACTCAGTGCCTCACGCAGATGCCAACATACATAGTAAGAATATGTAACCTGTAAACAAAATAAAATTTAATCTCACTAAACCTGAGAGAGTCGCGGAGTAAGGATTTGATCCTTACATGTACGTGTCACTCGTGTTCGAATCCCACTGTAGGACGTGGAGACCAGTCCTTCGGATGAGACCTTATTAACCGATGCCCGTGTTGCAGTTGATGGTGGCACGAAAAATATCCCTCATTGCTCAATGGCCCTAAGTGTCGAGAATAGGACAAAATTTGTAGCTCTCCATCGGCAAGTTGTGGCGTCTCTATATGAGTGAGAGAGAGTTTTTTCTCTGTCATAATTATTTAAGACGTCTTATTTTAGAATGAGTTTAATGGGTTTTTTCCAGGTGACCTTACAGGTGTTGATACATGTACTGCCCTCTATGGCAGAGATTGGAATATAACCAAATATTCCCACAATTTTTCTTGCGATTGATTTAGTCTTTGAGGGAGTGGGCTCCTCCAGTTTTGCCTACTTCCTTCCAATTTTCCGCTGCATCCCGTTTCACTCATATAAACTGGCGCACTTTTCATCGTTCAAGAATTCTGAATGATCAATAGCATTCTGTTTGATTTTAGATGTAACCAATATTACTATATATTTTTGATTTTAGATGATTTATAATTAAAAATATACAATTTATATCTATAAATTTAAAAATAAAAAAAACCCTAAAACTCTTCTTCTTTTTTTTTTTTTTAAATTTTCACTCTTTAGATATTTTCATTATGATGACATGACGTGTAGCATTGCATATAGCAAAAAGTTACAACTCCCTGATCCCTGACAATGGTAAAAAGCTTGGAGTATTTCTATGTCATAATGATTTAAGACGTCTTAGCTTAGGATAGTCATAAGATAGCTTTGGAAACACCTTAAGATAATTTTATGATGATTCTTAGAATTTCTTAAGATACATCTTAAGAAATGTATTATGAACAATCTTAGAAAAGTTTCGTAAACATGCCTGCAGGTATTCCAACAATCTTTTGGAATCCCCATGGGTACAAATTGCGCTCCGTTATTAGCAGATTTATCTTTATATTCAAATGAAGCAGAATTTATGCACAATCTTTTGCGTGAAAAGAAGAAAACACTTGCTGTGGCCTTCAATAACGTATTGTCAATAAAATAATGATTATTCCCATGCATTCCTACGTCGATACGATATATCCTGGTGAGCTTTAGATAAAAGATAACACAGAGTCTGACACTTTTGTTTCATATTTGGATATTTTACTTGCAAATAGACACTAATGGTAATCTAACAACCAAGCTATGGGATAAACGTGATGACTTTAACTTTTCTATCGTCAACGTCCCTTACTTATGCAGCAATATATTTTCATCACCTGCATATGGAGTTTATATATCTCAGTTGATTCGATACGCAAGAGCATGTTCTACGACTGAACAATTTCTTAAACGAGGTAAATTATTGACTAACAAGTTAAATGAAACGAGAATATCAGCAATCTCGTTTAAAATCGCCATTTCGTAAGTTCGATGGTCGACACAATGACCTTGTCAGCAAATACAATTTATCATTGAGTCAAATGCTGACTGACGTTTTTCATACCAATTGTTAGTCCATTATTTATATACTGAATTCACGACGGATTTTTTTGCCCGTTTTTTTCGCGATCATGACCACGAACACAGGGCTGGTGTGACCGGTCGGCAGGGGATGCTCACTTCTCCATGGCACCTGATCCCACCTCTGATGTTTCGGTGGTCCGTGTTTGTTCTGCTCTTATTTTTTATATTGTTTAATGGACTTTGAGATTGAATACTATTCGTTAAATGTATCTCCATATCCTTATACTGGTCAAAAACCAGAAGAACTTATGCAATAGCAAGTAAAGTATCCGTCCTCCGTTTGTCTATATGCCTGTCTATCTGTCCGTCTATCTGTAAACGATTTTTCCAAATTCTTCTCCTCCTACATTTTTTGTCTGATTTCAATATAACTTGGCACACAGGTAGAGTACATAAAGATACAAAATTCTGTCTACTTTCGATGAACGGTGTTGCCGTTTTAACTAATATAGAAATAAGCGAAAAATACTTTCAAAATGCTATTTGTCCTACAATATTGGTCTGTTTTCAATATGATTTGGCAATCAAACAACACCAAAATACATAATTCTGTATATCGGATTTTTATTTCGATGAACACTGTTGCCGTTGTAACTGAAAATAGAAATTTCTGTGAAATACGTTCAAATGCAACTCGTTTTACAGTTTTGATTTGATTTCAGTATAACATTCACACAAGTAGACTAAACTAAGATAGATTATTCTGTTTATCGTTTTTTCTATTTTGATGGATGGTGTTTCGATGAATGGTTACTAAAAATATAAATTTCTGAGAAATACTTTAAAATGTTTCTCCACATACAGTTTTTTTTATGATAATATCATAATGCGTCCTCTAATTACACAACGCTGAGATCAATAATTGTCTTTCTTTTAATTTTGATGAATGGCGATTCCATGGTAAATAAAATTAAAGATTCTGTAAAATTTATTTAAAAGATTATCCTAAAGTTGTAGTCTTACTACCATCTTGCCACAAAAAAGAGACTTAATTAAGTATCATTATTCTATCTATTGCTGTTGTATAGTTTTTTGTCCCATTTTCCTCTTTTCTACTATTTTGTTTAAGTACGAAATAGTAGAGCTACCTCGCGTCAGACACTTATAATTATTTAATGAAAAAAGGGGAAAATCTTGAAATTCAAGGAATGTAGACATGAAAAAACTTGATTTTTTCATATCATCTTGCAATATTCTTTCCATTCATGGAAAAAAATATTTAATTGTTTCCAATTCCCTGGAAACCCTTTATGACAGAGATGTTCTAGAGATAATGTGCAACAGAAAGTGTTTGAGAGACGAACATATTTTGAATAGAGGGTGTGCATTATAGATGTTACTTTCACCCTGTTACTTCGAGCATTTCATTGTTATATAATGAGAAATTAATCTTGAGAGTACGTAAGTGGGTTCATCTTTACTTGTGTGTACAATAACATTGCTTTTACAACAAAATAATTTTGTGAAAGTCCAATGACAAGGTAGGTAAATTTTCGAGTTCCATTATTATTGAAAAAGCAGTTGGCAGTGATATCTGGACATTAATTTATCGTGGGGAATGGTTGTGTATAAAGTTGAAAAGTCTCAGGATTTTAAGCTGTTGTTTTTGATAAAATCTTGTGATTTTAAATAGTCCAAAAGTTCCTTGGAATTTTGTAGTATCCACATCTGATTTACACCACTTCTTGAATATATTGTTGAACAGATGAAGTAAATTTTTGGAAAAAAAGTAATAGAATATATCCTAAATAAATTTCCTTATCAATAAAATTAACATGTAAAGAACTTTGCGATTTTTTATAATAAATCTGATTTTTTACTCGTTAAATTACTTTGCTAACGATAAGACTGTAGATAACGAATCGGTAGATATTAAAACGGTAGCGAGTTTAAGTGACCTCTCAATACGTAAGCAGGATTATTATAGTAAAAAAAGAAATGGTGCTGGGCGATCACAATTATTTCTTAGCTTTTTTTCTCACCTTTTCAAAGAACCCTTAGTTATGAACGTGAATTCTAATTCTTTTTTCTTCAACATTTTTTTTGTTTTATATTCATTTGAAATTAGGATGTCAACATGATATAATTTTCAATAGTATTTATTATAATTTCAGCTTTTGTATGCGGATACAGAATCTAACTTACCGTTTTTGAGCTCAATCTTTTTACAGAAATTTATCTATTTACTCATTTATTTATTTATTTCATAGGTGAACCTAACAATGGTAAAATACAGCAACATAGATTTAAACAAATTTTACGTTTCAGGTAACTGCGCTATAAATAAACACAGGTAACCCGGATATTTAACCCAGGTGAAGGTTACCTCAGACACATTTAATTTGAACGTCAAGGGAAGGAACAACTCATCTTATTTGGAACTATGAAAGGTTATATCTTTGGTTTAGTGGCAGAAGAATGATTTTGTAAGGTAATTTTAATAAAGTGCATTACTTATATATTATATAATATTAAAATACATATCTAAATCTTCTACTTTAATATTATTTCTACTTTCGTTTTAAGTTCATGTAAGTTGGCCTTCCTCGTGTTCCTTAAACTTACACTATTAAACGAATGGAACATGTTTTCATTTCATAATTTTTTCTATAACATGCCTCTAACATACAATTTACAAAATGAAAGCATTAAAAACATTTTATACCTGGCAGAGACACTGGTACTTGAAGACACTATAAACCCAACCCCACATTCACCTTTCGCTTCTTCCCATCGAATCTATAATCCGGGCTCAAAGATATTTCTATATTTTACTGTTCTTGAAAATACAACTATTTGATACAATGATATGAATATAGGAAATGATTCCCCACTTTTAGCTTAGTGACAACAGTTTAAATTTGTTCGGGCTTTTCTATATTTTCTTTTTACTACAAGTTTCAATATTTTCCCAGGAGAAATGGAAACGTATGTGGATTCCTGTCCCCATAACATCACAGAGGTATTAGAGTCCTCCGCCAGGCTGGGGTGTGGTCAGGATAAGTATGGGAACGATCAGTATCTCTGTGTCCCTAATACAGACAAAACAGGACTTATAGAACTCTGTTACAATGGAACCATGGGATTAATAAAAAGAGGTGAGTAATAAAAGAAATTTAACCTAAAACACATTTCTATTGTTTAAGTTTCAAACGAAAACCAACGAAAATCGAAGCATCTTAGAAAGTATTCTTTGATATACACTAGAATATATTTTATTTCTTACGTGTATGCATAACAATATACTTGATTAGGCAACTGTTTGGAAACCGATGGAGAAAATCTTCACTGGAACAACTGCCTTGGATTTTTATCAGGTTGTCCTGAAAATGAATATCGAAGCAATGAAATATACAAATGTAAGATCCTTGAACTATATCATAATTAACATAATATGCTTAAATTTAAATCGCCACACTATTGTTTGTAATGAATCTGATTTATCAAATAGTATTTTTTCATTAAATGATTCATTATCATTTAGATTCTGCATGCCAAATCATCAATGCACAGCACAATTGCTATCTTGCTGAATCATCATGTCCTAATATGTAAGTAAATAAGAATGTAGTAGTTTAAATTGTAGATTTTTGATTACCCTACTTTTTGATTTTGTCTGGAAAAAGTTAGCTTGGGATTTCTATATTACACTGTAGTTAACTTTCATTAATACCTTGGTTCTCTACAAAGAAGACTTAACCTGAAAGAAAACTGTCTCAGAGCAGTCTTAGAAATTGTTATCTGAATATTTTTTGCTGTGTCCGTCCTAGAAAGCATTCTCAGCCATCCAAGAGAGTAGCCTCAGTAGGAAGCGTTTATAAATTAAATAGGGGGATCTCACTCCTAACTGAGATGCTCACACCTCAATGATACCTGTCTCTGGTGTTTTTGAGGTCCGTGTTTGCTCTGCTTCTATTATATATTGTTTTATGGTTTTTGGATCTTGAATACTGTTCGTTATCTACATACATTTCATCCTAACAGAGAGTATCAATTAACAATTTTTATAAAGACAGATGGAATAGATGCTTACCAGGGTATTTATCATGCAGATTTTTAAAAAGAAAATTTGTACTGATAGATAGATTGGTTCAATCTTGCTTTTGTAATACATTTGATAATTTTTAATCACAAAGAGAAGTCCTCTCATACCAGTAAAGGGCTTTAAATTTAGACCTATATTATCACCTTGTATAATTAGGTAGTAATGATTCTTTACCGTGAAAATGCTTTCTGTGATCATGGTGATAGACGATCTAAGTTTTAAGATCTCATCAGAAAGACACGTCATTTTCACTTCTATAGTTGCGGGGTGGGTCTTGTTGGTCTTGTTGGTACTGTACTCTGGAATGTATTTATTTTTAAATAATTGGGACAAAATATCAGACAGGTTTCACTGTATTGAAATTAAATCTATATTACCTGACGGTGCTTCCTCGTCAATATGACGGAAGCTATGCTGTTCATGAGAAGAATATTTGAAATATTTTTCACAATATACGAGGGCCGTTCGAAAATTACACGGACTGTGTTATTATTTACTCTTACAGACGTCATATAGTTATGAAATTTCACAGAAATATGAATCTTAAAGATTCCAATAAATTCTGGGCAAAATTTATGTATTTTAAAGAAATTCTAGGAAAATTATCGCTATGGTGATATTGCTGATGAAGAGGTACGGAGCAGGACAAAAAATTTGAAGCAAAAGCATGCGGAATCCAAAATTTAACTCATTATTTTTCGATAATTCGCGATATTTTTCGACAATTTTCTCATATGTTTTTTAAAATTGTTCTATTATTATGTATTTAGATTTCTGACATGATATTTGAACTAGTAACACAAATATAGTGATTTTTCTCCGATGCGATTCCCGAGAAAACGACTGTGAAAATGACGTCTCCTGAATTGACTGCGCACCACACTTTTGTTAAATTGCGTGTGATGCTCCAACTTTCGCCAACATAGATCCAAAATATGCATAATTAAACATGTAGTAAACTAGGGTATTCGTGACATTCGTCCACAAATAGCAAAATGAAATTTTAGACTGTTAGACCTCTGTAAACAGGCTATACGGGAGGACGAGAAGAAGAACATCGACGAAAACTTTATCCGGACTGTAAAGAACGTGATTGAGAGTCACCGATATCATACTATATCTCATAAATACATGTCACTGCATATTTTGGTTTTAAAACAAAAAAAGAATATTCTTTACTTGTTTAATAGATTTTAAATACATGTCACTGTATATTTTGGTTTTAAAACAAAAAAAGAATATTCTTTACTTGCTTAATAGATTTTAAGCTTGACAAGAAATGGTGTTAGGATGTTAAGTAGATAAGGTAACTTAAACTGTACAGGTACTCTTGGGAAAATATTGAGAAAATGAAAGCTCAATCACACATTTTCTATAATGCCTGTGACGTCGAAGATTTTGCTGCTCCGCGACTTAATGATATGTCCTGATAAATCACTCAAAATCGATACCAATTTTTAACATTTTGAAATGAAATTTTGAAGACCTTATAACTAAAGATTCTTTTATATTATGTGTGACATTTTGCCCAATTTTGTTGTCAAATATTTTTTTCTGTGCAACAAGTCCGCGTAATTTTTGAACGGCCCTCGTACTTCGATGTTAAAAACAATTGATCCTGTATTATGACCACATCCAATTCTTTGCGACCATTATTTGAACAAACAAGGATCAGTACTAACTGATGATGCTTCCAAATCAATATGTCCAAACATGTCTATGCCTATTTTATAGTTTTTCTTTCCTAATCCATTCTTATGTAAAAAAGTGTATTCCCATTATGACCCTACTCCAGGATCTATGATGTTAACAAACTAAATACTGTACACTAGGACTGGGCAATAATATCGATATTTCAATATATTGCGATGCAATGACAAAAAATATCGTATCGCAATACGATTTTGTAATATCGATATATTGGCAATATGCTTACATTAAGGAATTTTATCATTAAATATCAAAATGGACTTGTGAAATTTTGTATTTAAGCCAAACACTAAGAAAGAAGTTGTTTTGTGGGAACTTAACTGAAATCAACAAGATTTTTTCTGTGTTGGCTACTTATCATAGTTATGTACATTCTGCATGCAAATTAAAGTAAACATAGTAAGAAAATGCCATTTAAATTACATTGAAAACATTGCAATACATATTGCAATACAGTTAAAAATATCGCAATATATCGCAATGCGAAATTTCGGTCCAATACCCAGCCCTACTGTATACACTTCCCAGGATGTTTCTATATTCAATAAGATTTTACATTATTTCCCACTCTTTAAAAGAGTTTTTAAACAAAGATCGCTTCGTATAATATTGTATAAGATTAGGTAATACTTTGATGCTTGTTGTTTCAGCAATCCATGAAGCTAGAATCTACGCTATTGCAGGATGCTTCCTTAATAATTAGTCAATAACAAGACATGTTTTGGATGTTTTCTGAAAATTATTTTCTAAAAATTCATGTTTATAATATTGATCCCATATATTATTGCCCCAAACACATTCTCGTGCCAAAGAACTATATGCGGTATTATTAACCAACATTTGCCCCCCAAAATCAAACTTTGATGGAGTAATATTTAATTAAGTCCTTAAACAGGGGAGTATAGGCTGACTTCAAAGCACTGAATAATTTCATAAGTAATGACGTCATATGTACGTAATGACGTCACAAATATGACGTAAATTTAAGTTTTCTATGAATTTTGCAGAAAAATGTACATATTTCGTCGATATTTTAAGTAAAAGTCACCGAGCGCATGTGTGTTCAGGATAAATATTTTGATATAATGTGTAGAATGATAATATCAATGAAATATGTCAATATTGTTCCTGAACACACATGCGCTCTATAAATTTTAAAGCTTGAATTGTTGAAATTTTGTCCATTTTGTCCTCTTTCTGAAAAAGGATATAAAATCGTCACAAAATAGTTTGTGACGTCATAAAAACAGAAATTGTGAATACACTGCTCTGGAACTATAATATTTTCTGTTAACTTATATTTCTCGTACAATTTAATGAATTCAGCACATTTCATGATGTTTTCAAAATTTGACTTTTGTGGGGGCAAACATATGCAATATACCGCATATAGTTCTTTGATGCAACTTTTCCCTGACGCCATTGTTTCTAAACAATGTTTCTTGCCTTTTCAAACCCTCAAAATCCAAAAACTATAAAAAGCACTCACTTGAAATTTTCAGTAATTAGTGGCATGACCTTTGGCAGAAATAACAGCAAGTAATCTCCTTGGAATTGTCCGATATAAGTCTCTATATAAGGGGCAGTTAAAGAGGACTAAATATTCATAACTTCAGAGATGAAGTCATCTTTGGATTTAATTGCTGCCAGTGATTTTCTCAGTCGAAATTTCAAAATTAACCAGACATTTTCAATGATATTGAGGTCAGGTAACTGTGATGGCCATTCAAGACAATTTAATCTAAATCATTCTCACGTTTCCAAGCTGTAGGTATTTGTGAGGAATTGGCAGGGGGCATTGTCATCCTGAAATAAAAATGACGAATTTCTAAAATGTTTTGCAATGACTGGCCCTAATTATAAGTGTTCATCAAGGGTCTCAATATACTTCTCAGAGTTCATATTTCCAGTTAATGGAACTAATGTCCCCACTTCTGAGTATGTCACACATCCCCAAAACATAGCGATCAACTTAAATTCACATTGAGGCCATGTTGACCGACACCCTCTGGACAATACGATTCATCCTGTGTTCTCCACACATGCAGACAGTTTTCTTTGATATCACTATCTGAATTTAATTTGAAAAAATCACTTTTTTCCAATAGTCATCAACTTTCTGATTTTTCATATGTTTACACCATTGAACACGGCATTTTCGGTTCACTTCTGACACAGTTAGGGTTTTCCTTACTTTGAGTCTGTGAATGCCATAGAAATGAAGTTTCCTTTGAACAGTCCTAACAGACACTTTGTCAGTAGCATGTTGGTTAAAATTATCCGCAATTTCATTGAAAGTCTGTCCTATTTTTTTTCACAGTCCGAATCAAAGTTCTGTCACCCCTCTCATCAATAAGATACTTCCTACCTCTACTGGAGGTCTTTTCCATACTTTCCCCATTAATATATTTCTACTCAAGTCTGCTGGAAATTGTAGATTTATTCACAGAAAATATTTCTGCCAAATCACTTTGTTTTTCACCTCGTAGATACAGATCTAAAACCAGTGTTCTTTGCTCCTCTGACATTACTTGTCGTCTGCTCTCCATTGTTTACAATGAAAACACTAGAGAGTTAAATCAGGGGAAGAAACTGAAATTGGGTGCAAGGAGAAATTATACCCTATATAATTTGTTTCAATTCAACTTAAAACAAGAAGTGTTTGTGAAACACTGATGCCCCCGTATGGCAACATATCAAAAATTAAACCTTTCTTAAATGCAAATTTAATTAATTGGTACCAGAATTAGGGTATTCTCACTGGAAAACAATTGTGAAATTTGAAAGTAAGCCAAT